ATCTGGCATTTATGACATTTCTTCACATATTTGCAGCAATCAGATTCCATTGTCATCCAATAGTAACCAGCTCTCAACATCTTTTTAGCCATTGCATGTCCGTTGGCAAGAGTACCAAAGGATCCTTCATGTACTTCTTGCATCAGCATGTCTGCTTCATGTCTGTCTACGCATCTGAGTAGGACCATGTCATAATTCCTCTTATACAATACTTCTTCATTGAGGAAGAAACTGCTTGCCAATCTTCTCAACGTCTTCCTATCTTTATTGGATGCCCCAGGCGGGTACTCTTGAGTTTGAAGAACACGTTTAATGTCATAGAACCATGGTTTGTCGTCGGTGACCTCCTCTACTGAGAACACATGAGCAAGTCTGTCGAGGCGCATAACCCGGATTGTAGGCACATCGTTCCAACCATTCACTTGAAACATTGAAGACAAAGTAGCTAAAGCATCAGCCATTTGGTTTTCATCTCTAGGGATATGATGTAATTCCACTTTGTTGAAGAAAGTTAACAATCTTCTAGCATAGTCTCTGTAAGGGATCAAACCAGGATGACGAGTCTCCCATTCTCCTTTGATCTGATTAATTACCAATGCCGAATCTCCGTAAATATCAAGAATCTTAATCCTTAGATCCACTGCTTCTTCGAGACCCATAATACATGCCTCATATTCAGCCATGTTGTTCGTGCAGTCAAACTTCAATCTCGCCATTAACGGGATATGAGTACCTCGGGGAGTGACGATGATTGCCCCAATTCCATTTCCATAAGAGTTCACAGCTCCGTCAAATATTAAACCCCAATGGGATTCGGGATCAGGTCCTTCTTCAGGTAACGGCTCTTCACAATCTTTAGCCTTCAAGTACATAACATCTTCATATGGGAAGTCAAACTTGATGGATTGATAATCTTCAATTGGTTGGTGAGCCAAATGGTCGGCTAAAATACTCCCTTTGATTGCTTTCTGAGTGTGATACTCAATGTCATATTCGGATAAAAACATCTGCCAACGGGCTATTCTTCTAGATAAGGCGGGCTTCTCAAAGATATACTTGATCGGATCCATTTTGGAGATCGACCAAGTGGTGTGGTTAATCATATACTGGCGCAGACGGCGAGCAGCCCAAGCTAAAGCACAACAGGTTTTCTCAAGCAATGAGTATCGAGACTCACAGTCTGTGAATTTCTTACTCAGATAATATACGGCATGTTCCTTTCTTCCTGTCTCATCTTGTTGACCAAGCACACTTCCCATGGAATCTTCCAATATTGTCAGGTACATAATCAAAAGTCTTCCTTCCACCAGAGGAATCAAAATGGGAGGTTCAAGTAAATATTCTTTGATGCTATCAAAAGCTCTCTGACAATCTTCTGTCCATACACATCCTTGGTTCTTTCTGAGAAGCTTGAAAATCGGCCCACAGGTAGCAGTCATATGAGATATAAATCTAGAAATATAGTTCAGTCTCCCAAGGAATCCTCTTACTTGTTTTTCCGTCTTGGGCGCGGGCATTTCCCGAATAGCTTTGACTTTATCAGGATCTACCTCAATACCTTTCTGACTGACAATGAAACCCAGAAGTCTTCCAGAACGAACACCAAAAGTGCACTTGTTGGGATTCAGACGGAGTTTATACTTTCTCAAACGCTGGAATAACTTCAATAAATGTTCCAAGTGATCTTCTTCAGTTTGTGATTTGGCAATCATGTCATCTACATACACTTCTATCTCTTTATGCATCATATCATGGAACAAAGCAGTCATGGCCCTTTGGTATGTTGCACCAGCATTCCTCAAACCAAACGGCATAACCCGATAACAAAATGTTCCCCACGGTGTAATGAAAGCTGTCTTCTCCATATCTTCTGGTGCCATCTTGATTTGATTGTAACCAGAGAAACCATCCATGAAAGAAAAGACTTTGAACTTTGCGGTACTGTCGACCAATATGTCAATATGCGGTAATGGGAAGTCATCCTTTGGGCTAGCTCTATTCAGATCTCTATAGTCTACACACATTCGAACTTTGCCATCTTTCTTAGCAACAGGCACTATATTGGCTAACCACTGAGGATAGACCGATGTAACAAGGAAACCTGCATTAATTTGTTTTTGAACTTCTTCTTTGGTCTTGTCAGCCATATCGGGACGAGTCCTTCTCAACTTCTGCTTAATCGGCGGACATTCAGGTCTCAACGGTAAACGATGCTCCACAATACTGTTGTCCAAACCTGGCATATCTTGGTAGGACCAAGCAAACACATCAACATACTCTTTGAGAAGCTCCAACATTTTCTCTTTGACCTCTGGGATAAGCAATGCTCCGACCTTGACTTCCTTTTTATCTTCTTCATCACCCAAATTGATCAACTCTATAGGTTCTTCAAACGGCTGAATAGTCTTTTCATCGTGCTCAAGTAAACGGGAAATTTCATCAGGAATCTCTTCACTATCCTCTTCCTCGGCTCTGAACACAGGGAATTCAAAGTTGGGAGATGGCATAGGATCATTGTTTTCAATGGTTAAGTCATGGATTAATCTGCACATATGATTATGCTTTATTTTAGAAATCGATTAATATGAATGTTGTACAAATGAAACAAAATATTATTATATTTTCCTATTACTGCCAATTAATTTTCATTACTATTTCCCGGGAAAAGTGAAAAAATAAAACAGTAGTGGACAAAATAACATTTTTATTCATGAAGGGAAATACTTGAAACAAAGAGCCCAGACATTTTCTCTTTTGCCTTGGGCAGAGCAAAAGGATTTATTTTCAACATAACCCGACACAAATACTTTTTCGCCTTGGGCAGAGCGAAATTTTTTTTCAAAAATAAAACAAAACATTACTCAGAAATGTGCATCACAACAGGAACATCAACAGCAATCCAGTTCTGGAAAAAACCACTCCATGCGTTACAAAATCCAGTTTTAGAAAACATGTGAAGTGGAATCGGATGATGCATGATATGCGATGCAAATGATCGTTCATTTTGATAGTTTTTTTAAGAAAATGTTGATGGATGCATGGATGAATGATAATGCAACAATTACACACAAGTTCACAAATATAGGGGTTCAAAGGTTCAACGTTTGTGCATGGAGTCAAGGGATAAAGCCCACCCCAAGGTATGTACTAATGGTTTAATCACACCTGTAAGACAAGGTTCTAAGAGTTCCCAGAGTCTACATTCCTCCTTCCGATATTACCAACGTCTTGATTACTCAATAATTAGCAATATTCTCAAGAGAAACTCATCCGAGCGTAGCATCGCGTAACAACTACTTCCGAATTACTCCGTTATAGTCTCCGCGCTACACCTAAAAAGGCCAAGATGGTTTAGGGTTCTACGGTTTTCAATTTCTCTGGCTCCCAGGTCAAAAATAATAATGTCTTCCCGATTACTCGGTAAACAAATATTACGTTCAAAAGGGCCTTCCATTGAGTGGGGGATCTCATGCCTCCTTCTTCGGGATTACTCCCTCAAAGTTAACATGACTATACCGCCCGTCCTATTCTTAAGTGTAACTTAATCCGGGTATAGGATTCGTCCTTTGCAAAAAACCCAAACAACCCCAATATAAACACATAATCAAACAAAACAAATAATAATAAAACAGATAAAACAAACTAGGCTTAACCCACTTAGGGATGGACCAGCAAGAGGTCAATCTGTCCCCAGCAGAGTCGCCATTTCTGTAGCGATAAAAAATGTAGCGGGGTAAATCGGAGATTGAATTATTAATTAATTCGTCTCACAAAAGCAAGAGTCGCCACCGCGCTTTATTATTTCCAAGGGAAAAGGGAAAAGAGCGAAATAAAACCCTAAAATATGCAATGTAAAATAATACTTTAAAAGTAATGAAAATACAAGGCGTTTTTGAAAAGAGGTCTAGAGTTCGGGGGTTGGTTATACAGTGGGAAGGTATTAGCACCCAATGTATCTATAGTATTCTATAGGAACCTTTTGAAATATCTGTTTATTAAAATGTTCGTTTGATTAAAAATAAATTGTTTTGGCCGAAGATGGGTATGGACGAGTTTTTTAAGATACGAAGACCTAATGTCGAAGTTTTGACTTAAAAGGTGTGAGTTTTTGAAGAAATTAGATATTTGGGAAAATTATCCTATGTTTTTAATGAATGGGGGTATTCGCTCGATCGTGTAAGATATATTTGATGACATGAAGTCAACAAAATTTAAATTTTTCCCTTGGAGTTTTTGTTTTAGATGCAAAATGGGAAAGAAAAATTCTAAGAGAAACTGAAACTCTAATGTTGTCATGCAATTAATGGACTTGAGGTAGAGATTTCAAGGGAAATTCTATCCTAAAATTATCATGCCAAAGTTGGAAACCTAATGTATAACTCAACATAAAATAATGAAAACAAAGTTTTAATCGTTAATGGTGTTTCTTAAGGGATCGTGGCAAAAGAAACAACAAAACCATCAACCATAAATAAAAGAAAATAAAAGTCTAATATTTTTAGGATTTTCAAGTGATAAAAATCAAAAGGAAATTAAACTTATTCTAAGATTTTTGGTATATTTTGGTCATGTTAAGAAACATTAAAAAAATTAGAAGGAAATTAAAACTTATTGTAAAACTTTTGGTATATTTTTTGATAGAAATTCTAAATTCTAACTAATTTGAAAGTTTATTATGTTATGTTTTGTTTCTCTTTTATTTCCTACAATTACTACGGGATAATGTTATAGTCAAATAATAAGTAAAAAAAATAGGACAAAGTTAATCAGGCTGACTGGGGTCTAATCCTCAAATGATATGAAAGGCCCAAAAACAAGTAAACAAATGCAGAAAAAGCAAGCCTGGGGCGGACCGGGTCAAAACCGGATCCAGTTCCCATCCTCTAAAACAAATGGATTAAGAAAACCTAAAAACATGTCGAACGGCCACAAGCGTACAACTCTTCTTCTATTTCTCAGTTTTCTAATCTCTCTCTACTTGAAACGTGACCTTCACCAAAATGAAACAACAACAAGAAAACTCAGCTGCAACTCAACTCCCTCGCTTCCCTTCTTCCCACGTTCTCTCTTTATCAACTCATACTTACATCCATGTAGAAAATATCATGAATATGAAACTTAGTTCTAGCTATCAATCAAAAAACAACAATATCAAAGCAAATTGAAAGGAAAAGGTGAAAGAAAGCTTCGTTGAAACCTGACGGTGATACATGATTTCTATTGGCCCCTGCTCCAATCTGAAATAGCTTAGGTGATTTTAATTATTCAATTTGTATGTTGACTCATTCGGTCGTGGGTTCACGATTTCGTTTCCAATTTGCGGTGGTGGTCTACAAGCGGATCTGCAACATGAGTTGAGTGTCGACGGTGATTGCGATGTCGTATGGAAGGCGTGGCTTGTCAGAGTTCGTCGGATTCGTTTGCAGATCTGGGTGTGGTTGGCATGGAAGAATGGAAGAAAGGTCGCGGTTGGAATGATGTGTGTCGATGAACGGCGGGGTTCTGGTCACGCGATGGGTGGGAATCTTATCGAATCTCCTTCTCCTTATTATTTCCTTCTAAGAATTTCAAATTTTCACACTTTGAAATTCTTTTGCACATCTGGTTTCGAAGAGGTGTTGTTATTGCGGTGGCATCTCTATTTTCTTCTCTTTCTCAACAACCGAAATGGAGCTCGAATGATGTCATGAAGCTGGACGAATAGGAGAAAATGAAGTGTCGATAGTTTCTTGCAAAACAGAGGAGAATAGGGCGGAGGGAGGCTTGGAGAACCTTGAGAAGAGGTTGATGGATAGAGGAAAGTTGTTATGGATTCTGAATGTGAGCGGAAAGGTGATTGTCTCAGCGAACGAAAAATATGAACGGGTTTGTGAGATGGATATGGAAGTGAGGTATGGTGTTGAAGGTTATGTTATTTCCGCAGTTTGAATTGTTATTTCTGCAGGTTATGTTCTTCCCGTTTTGATAGTGTTTCTATCTCTTCTTTATAGTCAGTCTCTCATAAAATTGGAGGGAGATTTTTGATAAGCTTGAATAATTTTGGTGATTTGCTTTATTGCTTTTTTGATACAGGTTTTGGTCTTGCTAAATTAGTGCAATTTTGACAGGTTTTTTTTAACTGTTTATGGCCTGGTTTTAGTACAGGGCTATGGCTTGGCCTCATTATGCAAGTTTCTTGGATGTATTATGGTGCAGATTTTGCAGTATGACAGTAGCAGGTTTGTGGGAAGATTTGGCAAGAGTTGAAGCAAATTTTGGATAGTTGTGTTTGGATGTGCAGCATGAAAAAGACAAGAGATGAGATAAAATTGTTGTTGTAAACTGTGACCCTCCTCCAACTTTATATTTTCTTTCTTTTTGGATAAAACAAAATTAACAACAAGAAAAATAGTAATAATAATTAACCAAAAAAAAGAGGAGATTGTTAGTGACAACTAAACTAAAAGTACAAAAAAATTAAAATAAGAGACACAAAAAAAATGTGTTTAGTAATAATAATAATTCAATTTAAGAAATTTAATTAATATTAGAACTAAATCAAAATTAAAAAGGAACTAAAATTATAATGACTAAAGAAATAAAATGTAAATAAAAGAAAATGGTATTAACTATATATTTTTTCTTTGAGATTTTCTGGATGTAAAATACAACTAAAATAAAGATGACGCTAATCACATATTTTTTTTTGGATTTTTTCAAATAAAGTGATACAAACATATAAATTTAAATAGAATTAATAAAAGACCATATTTTTATATTTTGAATAAATAAATAAATAAAATTATAAATAAATAAATAAAAATAATAACACATGTTAAGTGCGTCTTTTGCAATTTTTTAATGGAAAAGAAATCATGAATAAAACACAGTCGAACTCAAATTTCACCAAATTCACAAAACAACTTTTAACGTCAACAATTTTTCATGGCTTTTTAATGCATAATTTTCCCTTGATTTATAAAGAAAAGTTGTAGATGATGTCAAGGAAAATCATGTGCAAAAATAACCTCTCAAAAATGTCGAAATTTGAAGAAGTTATGAATTTTTAAAATCTGCTTTGAAAATTGATAAAAATAGGTCAAATCGCTTGTGAACACTTGCAATGTAACGATGCAGATGGGAGGTGATATCTTAGGTCAAAAATTGGGGTACAACACCAAGGACACCTCTTATTCGCCAATTGGGATGGCGACACCTTTAATTTTTGTACTCTTTCGCCAAGTCCAATGGTGCCTCCCTTACTGTCCAATCGTGATACATGCATGCAGAAATGTAACCCCCTAGGCTGCCACCTAGCCTGTGCCTACTCTGCACCTATACTGTATGTTGTAAGTCTCCTCCCATCACCTCCAATGGGGTTACATGCATTCAGGCATGGCTTCCCAAAGGCTGTCACCTAGCCTGAGCCTAGCCTGCAACCAAGGACACCTCTTATTCGCCAATTGGGATGGCGACACCTTTAATTTTTGTACTCTTTCTCCAAGTCCAATGGCGCCTACCTTATTGTTCAATCGTGATACATGCATGCAGAAATGTAACCCCCTAGGCTGCCACCTAGCATGTGCCTACTCTGCACCTATACTGTATGTTGTAAGTCTCCTCCCATCACCTCCAATGGGGTTACATGCATTCAGGCATGGCTTCCTAAAGGCTGTCACGTAGCCTGAGCCTAGCCTGCAACCAAGGACACCTCTTATTCGCCAATTGGGATGGCGACAACTTTCATTTTTGTACTCTTTCGCCATGTCCAATGGCGCCTCCCTTACTTTCCGATCGTGATACATGCATGCAGAAATGTAACCCCCTAGGCTGCCACCTAGTCTGTGCCTACTCTGCACCTATACTGTATGTTGTAAGTCTCCTCCCATCACCTCCAATGGGGTTACATGCATTCAGGCATGGCTTCCCAAAGGCTGTCACGTAGCCTGAGCCTATCCTGCAACCAAGGACACCTCTTATTCGCCAATTGGGATGGCGACACCTTTCATTTTTGTACTCTTTCGCCAAGTCCAATGGCGCCTCCCTTATTGTCCAATCGTGATACATCCTTAGGCTGCCACCTAGTCTGCAAGAGTGACACCTTTCATTTTTGTACATGCATGCATATATGTAACCCCCTAGGCTGCCACCTAGCCTGCAAGAGTGACACTTCGCATGCATGCAAGCACCAGCAACAACTATATGAATTTTTTTTGCCTATAAATACATACCATATCATACATCTCTCACACCCACACAAGTCTCACTCTCTGCTACGAAATCTTTCATAATCTCTTACACTTTCTAAGTCTTTCATACTCTCTTACTCTTTCTAAGTCTTTCGTAATCTCAAGCAATTTAAACAATGGCTCTTCTAACAATGGGCGATTCTCACAGAGGCACAAGGGAAAACATTGCCGCATTTGTAAGTTTCTATTTTGGTTATACATTTTTCATATTTCAGATAATGTTTTGTTCATCTTACTTAATCTTACACCTTTTACATTATGAACTCAGGACACCAAAAGATTCAAAATCCGTTCTCACAACTACCTGGCTCCCGACCCATTTATCGTACCATATCTGGAATACACAGGTTTTGGACATGTCATAAAGATCTCCAACTGCACAATTGATTCGAAGTTCATTCTTGCAATGTTGGAAAGGTGGAGACCAGAGACCCATACATTTCACCTACCAATAGGTGAATGTACCATCACGCTAGAGGATGTGTACATGCTACTAGGTCTCCCTGTCGACGGTAAGGCCGTGAACGGGTCGGTTCAACAACCCAACTCTCAGTATGAAGAACTGTTGGGCAGGGATATGGTTGAAGGTGGTGGTGCGAGAGGTCAGGGAATACTACTCACTGAGCTTAAAAGTCATTATGCAAGTTTGGAATTAAACGAAAATTCCTCCGAGCAAGACAGGGTAGTAAAAGCCAGAACTTATCTTATGATACTATTTGGTACCTTTTTATTTCTCGAAAGTACGGGAAATAGTGTAAACTTTATGTATTTACATTTACTAAGAAATTTTGAAAAAACAAGAAAATATAGTTGGGGTTCTGCAGTTTTAGCCCACCTATACAGTTCCTTGTGCAAAAATGTAGTCAAGGAAAAATGTACATTTTATGGGTGCGCTTTTTTACTACAAGCCTGAGGTTGGTGGAGGATGGAGTCCTTAAACCCCGTCAACAACAACACTTTCGTTTTCCCGTATGTAACAAAGTAAGTCATCAAGTTATATCATTTATTACTATTCATCTCTTCACCAAATATATGCTAAGAATAAAATGTTTTTCATTTCCTTTAGGTACTGCGTGAGGGGTATGGATTACGGCAAGAATCCAAGATTCAATGTCGCACTATACCGCAATCTGTTGGATCACTTAGGCCCGGACGATGTACGTCGTAGCTTTAAACTTTTCTTCATTTAAATTATTTATACATTACTTTTGGGTTAACCTGATTTAAATTTTATCGCAGTTCGTCTGGAGACCATATTTGGGTTTGGGCCATGATCCAAACCCGGAGGGTGCAGCAATTTGGACCGCGAAGACTACAATTATTCGGTTCAACATTGTGGAGATGCACCACAGCGACCGTGTGAAGATGCAGTTCGGAATGCATCAAGAGATACCAAGTGATCCAACTTGTTTGTCCCCATGGCATCTTAAAAGGGTCGACGCCCAGTGGGATCTTACCAACTGGAAAGACTTCGCTCCAGAATGGTGTAAGATGTGGCAGAGGCGTCACCGCTATGTCTTACAATTCCCGGTTTTCCTTAATCATGGTAATATGCGACACACAGATCAATATTTATCTTGGTACAGGTCGGTTAGTAACCCTGAAATGCACTTGTCTCATCTAAGGTACTTGGCTGACCCACGCACACAATGGGCACAACCCTCGTTTCCCCAACAACAAACCCAAAACCCATCAACCTCCCACCAACCCCAAGAAGAAACAGACCCACAAACACCCAACCACAATCCCCACCACAACACAATTACACTCAAATGCCCCACAACCAACCATAATCACCACCTCACTACCAATACCCCAATATGCCTCACACTCAACCACAATACCAATCACAATACCAACACACCCGCATACCCCACACACATTTTCAGTCTTCCGTATATCCCAATATAGGCCCCTCAACATCCAGCCTTAGCCCTGATATGGGAATGTCAGAAGATTACGAACAAACCGACCCAGCCTACCATCAACCACAATATCACCAAACCACCCAACATCCTCAATACCAAACACCCCAAGATCCATTTGCTTTCTATCCACCGTACTCAGACGATCAATGCTACAGACCCACCATGGAACCCCACCCACCGCCAACACGACCAAACTTTGAGGGTATGGGTAACCGACTGTACCAAAGCGGATCTTCTAAATATGGAGATCTGACTGATTTTATAGATCCGGACCGCATTGACTTCGCTGGGCCATCGACCCTGCCGCAGCAGGAAACGCGACGACACCCAGCACGGGAAAGACGAGGACGGGGATGCGGAACCGGGGGTCATTACTGGGTTCCGGGGGATCACTGATTTATCTGTTTTTTTTTCCCTGTATTTTTTTATCTGTTTTTTTTTATTTGTTTTTTTTATCTGTTTTTTAATGTAATACAGTTGGATGTAATTTTTTTTATTTTATAAAAAGTCCATTTTGTTGATCCTGTATCCAAT